CTCCATCCCTGTTCTCCCTCCACCCCTGTTCTCCCTCCATCTGGGCCGTTCCTCTGCTCTTCCCACCCCCCAAAAATGGCCCCCCCTGACCTGCAGCACCCGACTCATCCACTGGAAGCTGTCCTCCTCGGAGGCATCCGGCCTCTGCTCCGCCACCACCACGATCCTCTCGTCGTAGAACACGGACACGGAGAACACGGCGATCCTACGGGAAAGGGGCACAAATTCCAGCTCTGTTCCTTGGGAACAGGGAGCCCCAAGGCAGAGCTTGTGAAAATAACCAGGGGGGCAAAGACAGGGAGAAAAAAAACCTGTCAGCCAATTCACGTGGAAAAGGAAAGACTGGGAAGTGTTTAAGGGGTTAATTCCATCTCCACATGGCAAAGTCCCCTGTCCTCCCAACCTGCTGTCACATTCCTGCTCCAACCTGTGGCAAATCACCAAGGCAAGAAGCCTTAAAGGCACCCACATGATGGTTTAAAATCTCCCTCTGGAGACACAAGATCCAGCCCTGCCTGAGGATGTAGAAAATGATACCAACAACTGCCAAATAAAAACCAAGTGTCTTTGGGCATTAATGAAACCCTTCCTTGCTGCAGAGCACCAGCCAGCAGCTAAGGAGTAAAACTCTGCAGAGACAGAGAACTAAATTCTCCATGGGGCTGACCTGGGACTCCTTCCCCTAAAGCACAAAGACTCGATGGGAATCCAGGCTGGATACTGGGAAGAGGGTGGGCAGTGGGGAAAAAGACCCGTGTTGGTCGGGCAGGATCAGGCCAATCACCACCTGAGTCAAAAATACATTGACTTTAACTGAGCTGCCCAAAGGGAAATCCAAGAAAACACTGAAGACCCTGTTTCCCTGTATTCCATGGGGGTTTCTGGTGCTGACCTTCCTCTGTAAACTGTCTTGATGGACTCCACGGCCAGGCCGGTGGCCACGATGTCGTCGGCGTTGTGCCTCCGCCCGCTCACCATCAGCAGCCCGTCCATCTTCCCCACCACGAACACCAGACTGCCCTGCAGCACAAGGAGAACAACCTCTGAGTTCTCCCCACACCCCCTCCGGCCCCAGGGGCTTCTCTCTGAGCCCCTGGAGGCCCCGAGCAGAGGGACAGAGCGGCGCCGAGCTCGGAGCTGCCTCACGTACGGGGCCGACAAATCCCAGCAAGCCGGAGCGGACGAAGGGCACTTCCCCCACTGGAGAGCCTGAGGAGTTCACAGGGATCACCTGCAACACAGTGGGGAGCACCTTGGAGGCCAGTGGGTTTGCCTGAGGACAGAAAAACCTTCCCCACACCCCTTCATGTGAGTGTGAGCGAAGGGGAGGGAGCCCTCGGTGCAGTTGTTGTTTCAGCAGTGGGGGAGATGTCTGTGCAAAGGGAATGCTGAATACCCCTAACTGTAAGGAGCTTCCCAGGGTATATTTTTAAAAAAACAACATTAACACTTCAGTTACAAACCCAAGGGATTACCCAAGGCTACCAGTTTTACAGAGAAAACAGGGCAAGGACATTCTGCTGCACATACCTCGAAAGTGTTCTTGGTCACCCCTGCCAGCCCATAATACATCATCCCTCCTGCTCTGGAGCTCACACAGATCTCACCAATCTCGTCTGTTTTGCAGAGCTGGGGTGGCCCATCGGGTTTCACAATGCACATCATGCCTAGGACAGACCAGGCTTTGTTAAAACAGCCCCCAGACTTGGCCTTGTGTGAGAAGTGACCCCCTGAACGGTGACAGGAATGAGAGTCTGGCCCTGCCCGACCTCCCCCACACCAAGGCTGGCTATGGGAGAGAACACTGAGCTGTTCCTCTCCTAAAACAGCCCCAGAAAGGTCTTGTAGGAGCCTCCTGCCTGTTTTTACCTCCTGGCATCACGTGGCCAACGTCCTGGACGGTGAGAGCAGAGTTTTTATCTTCAGTGTTGACCCGAATCACCCCGAAGCTCAGCCCGTTCATGGACAGGATGGCTCTGCCTGGCAAAGGGGCCCCAGGGACTCCAGGCCTTTGAAGGACACAAAATCAATGAACACACTCCATCAGGCACCCGGCTGGAGACACCACAGCAACAGAAAGAGGAGGATTTCAGTGTCTCTGCTTTGCACAGTGACTTAAACCCGAGATGGGCAGGAGGAACTGCCTCCCAGAAGAGCCACACTGATCAATCCCTAAGGAATTGTGTTCCTGGGCAGTGCAGCTCCTTTCCCAGCTCGTTATCTCCCCCAGTGCTAATCCCCAGCTCCCAGGCCAGACGATTGCAGGGCTGTTTGTCACAGAAGGCAGAGTGTGAAAATGTCCAGAGCGATCTCAAATCTAACCCCAGGCTCAGAACACCCATCCTGTGACCCTGTGAGTCCCAACACCCCCCTGGCTGTGGAGATCAGGAGGAGGAAAAGCAGCTGTGGGGATCAGGAGGAGGAAAAGCAGCTGTGGGGATCAGGAGCAGGAAAAGCAGCTGTGGGGCTCAGGAGCAGGAAAAGCAGCTGTGAGGATCAGGAGCAGGAAAAGCAGCAGCCAGGCCCTGCCGAGCTGTCCCAGCCCAGCACACACTCGTGTCTCAGGAGGGATATTTATCAGCTCAGCCTCTCCAGGTATCTCAGCACACCCAGCAAATGTCAGTGGAGTTCATTACACGCTTAAATCAACTCTGAGCAAGCCATGTGTGAACAAAGCCCGGCCTGGATGAGTCAAACCCAGCAGACAGACGGCGACGGTACCTCCGGATCGCGATGGTCATCGCCTCGGGGGAGGTGGCACAGGGACAAATCGCCTCTGGTTTGAGCCCATGGCTCTGGAACAAGCTCAGGAAGGCATCACAGGAGGAGACAGACCCTGGCAAGAGAGACAATGTCCCACTAGGACCTCACAGGATTTGATTTGATGCCCATCTACGGGAAGGGTCGGGAGGAGGATGAGGGAAACGACGAGAGGAAGCGGCTTCGAGTTGTGCTGGGGAGGTTCAAGTTGGATATTAAGGAAAATCTCCTCACTGAAAGGCTGGAATGGGCTGCCCAGGGAAGTGGTGGAGTCACCAGCCCTGGAGGGAATTAAAAGACGTGTGGATGTGGCACTTGGGCACGTGGCTTGGTGGTGAGGGTGGCAGTGCTGGGGAAGCAGTTGGGCTCGATGATCTTAAAGGTCTTTTCCAACCTAAACAATTCTCTGATTTTATAAACTGTCTCCCCTCTGCTCCCAGCCCAACCTCTTCCTGTACTTTGCAGGATGTCTCAGACCCCAAGGGGTGGAAGGATGGGAACCCCTCGTTCTGGTGCCCGAGCACCACGAGCCAGAGCTCCGAGATCTCCTCGGGGGTGTCTCCTGCAGGAGTGGAGGTTGATCCCACGGGACACCAGCTGAGCCCCCCCTGCCCTGGGAGCCCCCAGGCTGCCCCCACTCACAGGGATTTGCACCATCAGTGACGATCAGCATCCTCAGGGAGCTCAGACTCACGTCTCTTTGGTCTCTGTGGGCCATCATGGCCCAGTGCAAGTCTCGACACTTCACCAAAGCCACTTTTGCTGCAAACCAAGACACAAAACCACAGGTTAGGACAAATAAAAACCTTCCACGAGTCACTGGCATCCACCTTCCCAAAGGAGGAAGCTCTCACCGAAGCAAGGAAGCCTTAATGAACTGAGCCTGCTTAACAGCAAACCCAACACACGGTGGCATCTGCTGTGGCCTGCAGGCCACTGCCCACCACCTGAGCCAGGGTCTGTCACCCTCACAGCTCCTCCTCCAAAGGCCACAAATCATTACCACCCTCTGGATGCCCTGGGATCAACAGCTCTTGCTGTGCTCAACCATTCCCTTGGCTTCATCCAGGAAACTGGCTCCAAGTCAGGAGGTCCCCACCAAGTTCCCCTGTGCTCACACGGCGTTAGGATTTATTCAGGAATAAATTAGAATTTGTGCATGTTTAGAAATAAATGGCACAGTCCCCTGCCCTCCCAACCTGCTGTCACATTCCTGTTCCAGCCTTGGAGCAGGTGGCAAATTGGTGGAACCAGCCTTGCAACACTGGTGGCAAATCACTCCTGTAAGAAGATTTGCAGGTATCTACACGATGTTGGGGGCTTAAAATCTCCCCCTGAGCCTCACACGAGCTCCAGCCCTGCCTGAGCATCCAGAAAATTGGATCTACCGCTGCCAAATAAAAATTTTTGGATGTGAGTGACACTCTCGTCCCTTGAGATTTGTCAGGGGAGGGCAAGAAGATGGGATCTGATGCATCTGAGATTTTAATGCCCCCCTGAGAGCTCCAGGGTGGAGCTGTGGGACGTCCTGAGTTACCTTTGTGGGCATGGACCCTCTGCACCCAGGAGAGAGGGCAGGTTTTCATCACAGAATAGGGCACGCTGATGGTGTGCAGCTTGTTCATTACATTCTGAAAAGCAGGAGAAAGGTGGTTAGAAAGGGGCTCACAGACCTTTTCTCGAGCAGAGTTTAAGAGTCACTCTCAGTCCCCATCAACCCCCGCCAAGAATTCACAGGGGTTCAGTGGGGATGGCTCTGTGATTCCCTGGGAGAATTGCAGATGTGGCAGGGAGAGGAATGGTTGGTTTAACAGGTGATGGTCCTCAAATGCTGCCTTTACCACATTTCATTGACTCAAGGAATCCCAGACTGGTTCGGCCTGGAAGAGACCTCAAAGCTCCTCTCATTCCACTATCCCGGGAAAACCCAGCCTTGGACACTTCCAGGTATGGAGCAGCCACGGCTTCTCTGGGAAAGCCATTCCAGTGCCTCCCCCCACCCTCCCAGGGAGGAATTTTTCCCCAATATCTCATGCAATCATTAGTCATTAACCTCTCATTAATTCCAGAGGGCTCTGGAAGGCTCCGACTCACCGTGAGAATTCCGTGCCACAGCCCCGCATCCTTCTTGAAGTCCAGCACATTCACTATCGTTTCACCTGGGAAAAGAAAGCTGGAGCTGTGAAGTGCAAGGTGGCAGGAGAGCTGCTGGAATGTGCCCAGGGATGAACCTGTCCCTGCCCCTGCCAGAGCTGCTCCACGGGCCCGCGGAGCCCTCGTCACACGTGTGGCTGCTCCCAGCTCCTCGTTATGCTAAATAACAACTGCACATCCAGTTCTGAGCAGGAACATGGCCCAGAAGGCTGCCAGGAAATCACATCCCCAGCCTGGAACAGCCCATCAGCAGGACAGGAAGGCTCTGAGCCTCGTCATGCACGAGTGGTGAAGGACGGGAAGGGGAGCAGGGAACATCATTCAAGCCCCGACTCCCAGGAGCAGTGGAAACTCAAGTGATGGCTTCCAAAAGACAGACTTTGCATTTTAAAGCACTTTGACCTGCAGCTCTATAAATAGTTTCGCTCGTGGATCAAGGAATTAGCTTGAATTACAAGGCAGAGCAGACTAAAACCATATCCTAGAGCAGAACTCTCTGGAAATCTCACCAGAGTTTTCCCATCTCCACTTCTGGGTTACCCAAAAAAAAAAAGCCTTATGGGACCAGAACAGCCCCAGCAAGAGGCATTTACACACTCTCAGGAACAAAAGTTTGGGAAGACATTTCCATGGGGAACCAGAGGGACTCGAGCTCGCTGGAAAACGCTCTGGTTTTGATTCATTTGCTCCCCTTTTGGTTCAGCAGAACAGACCCAGCAACTCCCCAGACATGAAGCAAACCCCACTTTTTACTCCTCTGCATTCTGGTTGTGAAAATGATGCAAATTTGGATGGAAAAACATCACACTCAGCCTTCACTTCTGGGGGAGAATCTTTTTATATTCTATTTATATTTCTTTTTTTTTTTTTTTAAGCAGCTCTTGGTCACTCAGAGGCTGCTGTGAAACGCAGGAGAGGCAACCACACCAAATGAGGCTGCTGACCCCCCGTTCCTTTGATGTCCTGCGCCCTCACCCACCTTCAGAGTAGTTGCAGGCCTGAGACAAGGCTTGGCAGTGGGCCAGCATGGCCACCCGGGACACCGTGACCCCCATGACACTGCCCTCCTTGCTGGTCTTGTACTGCAGGAGAGAGGAGAGAGTCAGGGAGGGAACTCTGGATCCCGTGGGTGGAGGAGATTCAGCCACAAAATGCAAATGAAAGCAAGTTTCCTTTCTCTGAAGCTGCTGAGACAAACCCCAAACCCACCTGCTGGCGGGGTCAGCCCCGAGGGGATGGTTCTTGTGGGGGCAGCTCCAGGGAGTGGGGGATAAAATGGGTGTGCTGGTGTTTATCTCACTGTCACTGATGCTCACAGCACCTCTTCCTGCTCCCACAACAAACTGGAAAGCCAGGCTGTGATTGAAGGATGGCCAAATCACCCCTCAAACCACTGCAGCCCCTGGAAGTTGCCTTCTGGCCCACGAACAAAGATCAGCTCTGCCAGGAAGAACTGAGAACTCAAACTGAATGTGTGTTACCCAGCACCATCTCAGGGCTCAGCTGCCTCCACTCCTCACTTTCTGGAACAAGAACAGTTCTCCAGCTCGTTCCAAGCAGTGCCCAAGGCCACAAAGGGACTCAAAAGCTAAAACCTCAAAAACTAAAAGGAGCTTCCCAGCAGGATGTCCCCTCGTTTCAGTGGCAAGAAAGTGGGGAGTTTAAGGGAGTGAGGTGAAACTATTCTCTCTCTGGTGATTAGAACATTAAATTCAGCTCATGGAAGCCACTTTCCATTCCCCATTCACCACTCACCTCAATATATGCTGGCTCAGTTCCTGCTGCTGAGATGTTGGGCTGCCAGTCCTTGGGAGATTTGGAGAGATATTTTGAATCTGTCACAACCCATTTGAGTCTGGGCCAACCTGGAGCCAAAATTAAACAGCACATTAATATCAGCTTATTTACTGAGGGATTTATATTCTGCAGGAATGCACTAAACCCCATCACTTGTCCAAGTCCAGTTACACAAGCAGAATTCCAAGCCAAGCCCAGCTACCAACCAGAAGGTTCATCTCGTTTCTCATCAGGGAGTTCAGTGGGCAACAAGGTACTTCCTTCTCCTCAGGAAAGATCCCTGCAGCATTCCTAAAAATACCCTGTTGTATTGGGAATAAACCGCCTTGGAACCTGCCAAGTGCCACTGAAGGGACCTGAGGACAACCCTGAGGTGGTTCCTCGTGGCTTCCAGAACCCCCAGAGTTCCACCAGACACGTGGACTGATCTCACCACGCACTCAAAACCCACAACAGTTTGGTGACAGGACCAGAAGTCGCCCCCTTTGCCCCCCCCCAGATGCCTCCAGGCTCCTGGAAGCTCCTTTCAGCCAGTTCAGCTCCAGCAGAAGCAGCATCAGGAGCTGGTACAGCACTGACTCACCTTTGAACTGCACAATTTCTCCGTTCTGGGTTTTTGGGAGCCCTTTCAGACACACTTCAGTGGTGAGGGCCAGGGCAATGCCACAGCTCCCCAGCAGGAAGCCAATCTGCTGCCCACCAGCATCCTGAGGGAAGAGGGGGAGAAGTCACTCCCTGTTCTAAGGTGACCTGAAGTGAGATTTCCCCCTCACCAAAATCCAGGGTTTGGTAACGCTCTGGGAACTGGGGAGGAAGAAGAAGAAGAAGAAGAAGAAATAACCCATTCCCACAAACACCCAGAGTCACAATTAGAGCAACCTGGCCTAGTGGAAAGGGTCTCTACCCATAGAAGGGGGTGGAACTGGGTGGGCTTTAAGGTCCCTTCCAACCCAAGCCATCCTGGGATTCTGTGAAATACATCCCTGGCAGGATTAAAATTCACTGGATGTGAAATCCAGAGAGAACAAGTGCTCCTGCCCAGCATCCAGGCAGGGCTCACACCCCATGCAGTGTCATTAATGGAAACCCAGAGGGTTGCTCCAAAGAGGAATCAAGAGGCAAAACCAAAAAGCAGAACGTGTAATTACAGCGAAATAACGAGACCTCTCCATCCCCAGGAGCTGATTCCTGCTGCACAGTGACAAAACCCCCGAAATGAGGAGGCTCAATCAGGGCCTGACTGGGCAAATCCTGCACAGGTTTGAATTCTGCATGTGGTTGCCACAGCAGTTCGTGCAGAGAAATGGAATCGGAGCTCTGTGATCCCAGAGCGTTCCCAGACCAGCTCCCACCTCTCCTGCCACATGTTTGCCAGGAGACTGTTGCTCTTGCTTCCCTTAGGAAATCCTCTGGTTTCCCACAGCCCTTGACACGGCAATAATGTGGCAACAGTGCAGAAATGCTGGCAAGGGGTGAGGAAAACACTTCTGTGGAGCAGATAATTTACAAGAAGTGCCTCAGAACTCTTCAGGAACACTGAGCACCTTCCTGTCCAGCAGAGCCAAAGCCCGGCAGAGCCCAGCAAGGCTGGACTGAGCCCCCTCCCATCACCCAGGGGGGCAGGTCCTCCCTGTTCTGCCTTCCCCAGAAATGAGCTGCAGGGAGGGGATGAAGGCTGAAGCTTTCAGGAGAACTGAGCAGCCCCAGCTGCTCAGCACAGCTCTGGTCAATATGTTTTTCCATTTGGAAATGCCATTCCAGGCTCCCAGAGGTCCTCGTGGGCACACGGAGCTGCTCAGGCAGCAGCTGGAGGCTGGGAAAACGCTGTCAGAGGCCGATGGTCTGACTTGGTTTCCATCCCACCATCAGCCCACGGCTCCTCCAAGTTCCAGCAACGTTACCTTTCTGGTAAGAGGTACCTCTATAGGCACTGGGATCACTTCTGCCAGCAGACAGCCATAAAATGCCACCATGAACATCACGGGGTCGTTGTTGGGGTAGACAAGGGCCACCTGCAACCCACACAGGTGTGTTGTTACTCGAAACAGAAGTCAGAGCTGCACAGTTCAGACCTGCAGGGACTAAAACTCGGGAAACTTTGTGCTTTTTCACGTTTTTTTTCCTCCCACAGAAGGCATGGAATGGGCCTGAGCTCCTCAGGGAGTCACGTCACCGTTCCCACGTGTCCCCACGTGTGAGGGTTGCTCACACAGCCAAAACACAGGGATCACACCCTGGGTCTCTCTCAGAGCTGCAGAGCTCTGCCTCAGATGTATTTCAAAGCCCAGAGATAAAAAGCTGCTCCCAGAGGAGCCAGAGCCACTGCAAAATTACAGGAATTCCTTTCCCCAAGTAGCCTGTCCCTGGGATCAGGGAACTGCTGCGAAAAGAACACAAGATCCCGGTGCCTGTGGCAAATTACAGCCCCCCCAAAACCCCAGAGGGAGAACCAGGCAGCCCCAAAGTGATTACCCTGTCTCCAGGTTTTAACACAGGCTCGTTTTTGGTCCCCAGTTTATTGAGCAGGGTGTAGGCCAGCTTGAGACTTCTGCTCCACAGTTTGCCTGGAACACAAGAGAACAGGGACTTGCACAGCTCCAAACCAGCCAGCACGGGGGAACAGTTCAACCCCTGGCTGCTCTCACCCCCTGGTGTGGCCAGGGGGGTTTTGGGGAGCCCCTTCCCCAGCCCTGTGCTGTCCCCACTGCTGCTCTGTGAGCAGGGGCAGGGAGGGCTCAGCCCCACTCACCGTATGTGAGGGTGTAAACGGGTTTTCCTGTCACATCCAGGGCTGTCAGACAGGGACACTTGGCCTGGGTGGTCCCCCAGCGCTGCAGAGCTGCTTCCAGGGCAGGAGGCCAGTTACAAACCACTCCCAGGGGCTCCCCCTTCACCGGGGTCATCTGCCTGCCCTCGGGCTTGGGCTGGTTGGGGTCGGGCTGGGGGACTGAGAAAATGCAACACTACTTCCAGCAGATATACAGGAATGTTTCCAACACAACCCAAACACAACATTCCCACTCCTTTCCCATTCATCACCCGACAGCTGAGCTGGGAAGACACTGAAAACAAACGTTTTCAGCATTTAAAAACCCCAGCCCAGCCCATTTCTGCCCAAAACAAGCCATGGGGAACAGTTTTCTCCCAGGGAGCTGTTTAAAGCTGTTCAACACATCAAGTGAGGGGCAGGAACACCAGAGGTGGAGAAAAGGAAACCTTCCAAAAATAATGGCTGGGATGAAACCTCCAGTAAGGACAATCCCTTCTGGGAAAGTAATTAACGTGGCCCAAGCAAATGAAGGGGTTTCAAAAACCTGTTTAAATAGTTTTGTTAAGAAGTTTGGTGCTGAGGAGGTCCCCCAGAGCTCAGCAGAACAAGTAAACTACTTCAAACACTGGTTTTGTGTCAGACTCTTCATGGAGGCTGCTGCAAACACCGAATCAGAGTCAACCAGGGCACAAATGAATTCAGGTCTTTGCAGGTGTAACAGTAACAACTGATGAATAAAACCATTATTTGTGCCATTACCTTCCACGATTTCTTCAAAATCATCCACGAAGAATTCTTTCAGGGGTGGTCTTTTGGGCCTTTTCAAGGTGTTGAGCAGCTGCTGGATTTTGGTGGAGACTCTGCTGCTCACGGGGACACCTGGAGGGGAAGATTTGGGCCAATAAAAGTGTTCTTCCCGTGCCTGTTACAAACATTTACACCTCAGCTCCTCCCAGGGCAGGGCACCCACTCGTTCAGCTCCTGGTTTCTGTTATTAAAGCTGTGCCAGTGCAGGAGGGACATTTAATTTTACATCAGCTCTGCGTTAACTCAGTGGTCAGAAAACTCCATTAACAGAGTTTTAAAAGCATTTCCTCCCTTCCAAATCCTGATTTCCAGCACCAGCAGAGGGGACACACCAGGACACCAGTGTCACCTCCTGCACAAAGCTTTCACTCAGAGAGCCTGGAGCATCCTCAGCTCCACGGGAGCTCAACCGGGAGCCCGGAATTACATCATTTCCTTCTTTCTTTTCCCTTTTTCAGGGACTCTGGGACAAAACAATCAGCCCCAGCCGTGCATTTGTCATTTTTCTGCCCTTCCCTCCCTACCATCAGCAGTGTCCATGAGGCTGGAGCGGTTGGATCCCTTGTGCATCCCCTTCACAATTCCAGAGGGAGGGAGGTCGATCGCCGCCGGCCGGGCCGAGGGGGTGGAGGTAGTTGCTGTGACATCTGGGGGAACTGAGAAATTTTCTAAAAAGAGGGAAGAAACCGGTTAAATACTCCTTTTAAATCAGGTGGCACAAGCAAAAAAGTTGTCAGTGACCTGTCACCAACATCAAGGGTTTAAGGGGTTGGATATCTGTTTATTAAATGCTAAAACACTCTGATCCCTGAATGTGAAGCACATTTATCTGCTCTGGAAAACCAAAAGCCAAAGGCTCCATGTCAGGAAAGTGGTTCAGCAAAGCAGGATTCCTGGTCTTGGTTTCTAAACCTTGAAGCTCAACCTTGTGACATTCCGTACTTTAAAAAAAAATATAAAAAATAAAATAAAAAAATAAAAGTTTGAGATTCACGTGAGCTCTGAAATCTCCAAAGCCCAGCACAAACCCCTCCCTCACCTATGCACTGGTTCCTCTTGCTAGAATTCGACTATTTAGCTTTTTTTTGTCAGTCAGGGCTTTCAAAAACAAAACCAGAGTGAGAGTTTGACCAAAGCAGATCAGCAAAAATCGAGCTGGGTTTCAATTCCTTCCAGCTGGGTGGTTACAGAGCCTGTCCAGCACTGGCAGAACAAACCCCACGAACAGTGTGAGCTGCTTGAAGGTGCAAGACACTGTCCTGCCCTGGAGAAGGGGCTGGAAGTGCATCCTGCAGGAATTCTCCAGTGAAATCTCTCTTAAATAAAGGGCTTTTTGCCTATGTGGGATTTCTTTACACGACCCAGCGGGTTCAGTCATCTGAGAGGGCAAGAATATTCTATTCTGGCTTAACAGCACCAGCAACTGGTGCTTACAAAGGAAAAAAAAAAACCCAACAAATTCGAAGCTCAGAGAGCCTGGAGCCAGATCCTACATAATTCCCACTGAAAGGGTTTTGTGGCTGGTTCTGTGTTGATTTCCCTTTTTTCCAGGGATTAAAACCGACCCATTTCTGCATCCCTTTGGAGATACAGTGGCAAGAAACACTTCTCAGGCACTGCACTTCTCAGATCACTGAGAAGGACCCGGATTTGTGCAATCCAAACATCTGCAGGACTTTTTATTTCTCTCTCCAGAGAGATGCACAGAATTGTGTGAGTTCTACACACTTAAATCAGCTGTTAACACGGGGTGAATGTGGCAAATATAATTCTGACACAGATTTAAAGCTTCCACTGGGCATGAAACACTAATTAGATTAGACAGGAGATATTCTGTTGGTGAAAAGCTGTATTACCTTAACTCATTACAAAAAGGTAAGGTGGCTTTCTGCATTCTCCAATTAAAACCAGCCTCTCTGCTTCAAAGACATTCATTATATCGACTACGTTTTATGGGCAATTTCCTCAGTTTTCCATTTCAGGAAACAATTTGCATCCCAGCAAATAAACAGACGAAAATAACGGCAATAAAAAAACCCAAAACAAATAAGTTGAAACAGTCCAAACCACCAGCACTTCTATGCACTGCTTGCCCCCAAACCAGTTAAGCAGAAGCAGAGAGCACACGGAATACAGACACGTCCTACAGGTGCAGGAATTCCCTCCCCCAGCAGCTAAAAAAAGGACAAAAACATAACACAGAGCAAAAAAAAAAAAAAAACAAACTTGGCCATTTCATACAGAAGCATCAGCAGCAAAGGAGCACCTCAGAGCCTCAGAAAACTGAGCCTGGGGGATCCAGATCTGTAGATTCTGCTCCGTCTCCTCAGTACCTGGATGCTCTGGTTGTTCCTCAGCCAGTCAGGGCAGAGCTGGGCTGAAGCTTTACTCTGATTAACCCTTTTCTTTTTTTTTTTTAAGGGCAGGTTCATTTGCTCACACACACAAGGCTGGGTTTGGCTCTTTCTCTTTCCTGATCTAAGGCAGACAAGAAACCCTCAGGGCTCAGATGAGGATGGGCAAACACAGCACTTCCCCACTCCACGGGCACAGACACCCCAAGGAATTTGGGACACGGATGGAAAAGCCACTTGCACGGGGCAGTTCTGTGCCCACAGGAGAGCTGTAGACACAAAGCAACACAGCACAGAGGTTGTGCCTCCTGCTCTGCCCACGCTGTCCCTGGAGCCTCCCCTGCTTCCAGAGGCTCCTGCTCCCGCTGCCCCTTTTCCAACTGCCTTGAAATTCTTCGGGGGGGAAAAAACCCAGCGTGATGGTGGGACTCCAACCAGCCCTGGCAGGTTCCATCAACACCAGCTAAACCCTCACTCCGAATTTCCCCATGGGGAGGGACAACTCCAGCTTTATCAACACAGTCTGAACTCGAAGCGACCGGTTCTGTCGGTACCCAGCTCCTACCTATTCGAGTATTGGCAAATACATCAGCTAGTGACCCACTGGTCCCTTTGCCTTCTCCATGGGAAAGTGTAGAGGATGCTGATGAGGATGTGGATGACCCCTGAACAGATCGGTTGATCCAAGACTCAGCATTCTGTAAGCTCTGGTGCAATGCAGCAGAGAGAGCGGCCTGGCGCCTGAGCGAGCCCTCGTCCTCGGAGGCGGAAGACGTGTCTGTGTGGAAGCAGAGAGAAAATCTAACTGCTTAGGGGAAAAGCACATGGCACTGAACATGCTCTTTCCAGTCACATATATCAACAGGCTTTCACAGAGGGTCTGTTTTCCACGGCTTGGTGCACTGGTCAAACCATCAAAGCAGGTGGGAACACACTCACCCCTGTTCGATTCACCTCAAGCAACGCCCTTCCCCTGGCTTCTCCAAGCCTTAGGATTTATCCCTCGTTACTTTTCCCTTCATATTCCACGATACCAGATGCTGCTTTGCCTAGTTCTGAGCTGGGAAGTGAGGGCTCGGTGTCCTTGTGGCAGAGCAAACTCCCAGGAACAAAGCAGAACTCAGGGAACAGCCGTGCCAAGGCCGCAGCAGAAAATGCTTTTGTCCGGGGCTCTAAATGGGGCCCTTTCAACCTCAGAAAACAAACAAAAAGCCCAGCCCCAAAACAAAACAGAGAAATCTGCAACGAGGAACTGTTCCTGTGCGTCCCAGAGCACGGACACCTCGGCTGTCCCCAAATTGTGAGCTCAGGAGTCATTTATCACGGAGCCAGCACTCGGGACTTGGGATGCTGGTGCTAAATACAAACACTGGGGTGGCTCTGGCCTCAAATTCAGGTGCTCTCAAAAGTGATTTTCTGCCTACACTCAAGTGGTGAATTAAATTAAACTATCAAATCATGTCCTACCCACTTGCCAGAGTGGAAGGGAGTGGAGTGGGACCGAATCCAGCCCCGCTGGAAATGCTGACCTTTATCCACGTGACACCCCCAGCTCGGGATGTGCTGCAGTCCTGGACAAGTGAGCACAGAGCTGAGCCCCAAAGCAGACACCAGGAACATGCACCAGCCCCCAGGAGAGAGGAAGGGAGAGAAGGAAGTGTGATAAAGCAGGAGGTAGAGAGGAGGAGGAGGAGGAGGAGGAGGAGTGACATGGCCCAGCAGAGCGGGTTCAGGGGATATGAATCCCCCCAGGAGACAGGGATTCATAACATTTGGATGACTTTGTCCATCCAAATGGCTGCGATGCTTCTGCACGATGAGACACGACACAGAAAACCACACGGACTCGTTTGGAAGCCAGGGCATTCCAGCTGCTGGAAAACAGAGGGTTATCCATGTCTGCTGCACGTGCACCACACCAGACACCACGTTATCCGGGGGGGGATTCTGCTGCAGCCACTACACACAGGGAGGGGTGGGAAAAGTCCTGCAAGGTTGGAATCCCACCAGACCCCTCCGAGGTCCTTGCCCAGGAATGTTCATCCCTGCAAATCCTCCTCCTGTGTGCTGAGCACTGAACCTCAACGAAATCGAGACGTGAATTGTGCAGCAGGAACAGGAGCGAGGGAGGCAGAGCCGGCCTCAGGGCAGGCCTGGCCAGCCTGAATCATATCCATGGAACACCCAGAGGATCATCTGAGTCCAACTCCAGGCCTTGCAGAGGACACCCCAAAATCCCACCAGGTGGCTCTTTAAGAACTCCTGGAAGAGGAGCCCCTTCCCCAGCCCTGACAGAGCTCCAGGACGAAGAGACTGGTGCCAGTGTGGGAAGAGCTGGAACACTCGGCCCACTGCAGCCCCTGGGCTTGGCTGCTGCTGAGCCCCTGGACCTTCCCAAGGCTCACCTGGGGGAGTGCAGGCGTCTGCTGGGGACTGGACAAACGTGGAGCGTCGCTTGGTGGGCATGGGCAGGGCCATCTTCTGCTCCTTGTGCTTGGCCAGCGCCGCCTGCACCGCTTCCGTGTGGATATCTGGGGACGGGAAGGGTTCCTGAAGTTTGGCAAGCTGAAGGCAGGGCTTTTTTTTTCAGTCTGGAATGTTCTGGATTAGTCATTATATATCCCTGTGTCACCAGCAGCTTTTGGAGAGAAACCTCAACCCCACCAGCTCCTTCCCCTCAGCCAAAGATTATCCTAAAATATGCCTGTGCACAGCTTGAACATGCACCGAGGGTGTGCAGCCCCAGGTGCACCCAGCTCTGTGCACTGACAGTTGCCTGGTTTAGGAAAAAACCTCCTGTTCCCAAATGGATGCAGATTTCATGTAAATCTTGGAAGTTTAGCTGTGGTTGTAAAGGCAGGCTGATCAGGAACTGAAGCAGGCTGGGACTTGAGGCTTCCACCCCTCTGCAAGCCCCAGAGCTCTTTAAAGGAAGACACACAGCACTGGTGAGGAGGAATCAACTTGTTAAAAACCTGCCGTGGCCAGGGAGAGCTCATCTACATTCACTTCTCAGACTGATGCATTTTAATTACGCTTTTGCAGAGCCCAAACTGGGCTCTCCTAACGCTCCACGGAACGGGGGGATACGATGGGGAAGGGAGCCCTGATGAGCTTAATTTGCCCACATCGAGAGGAAAACGTAATTCTTGCTTTTGCAAAGTGAAAACCAAAACCAGGTGGAGATAAAAAACGGGTGCCACCACCTTGCCCCTTCCTGAAGCGGGGCAGGAGTTCGGGAGGAGGCAACAAATTATTTGCTTTTTCGACTTAATTGTTTTTGATTCGGCAGCTGCAGCCCCACGAGTCTGATGTTTCTTTGCACGGAACCACCCCAGCGAGTCGTGGGATAATAATTTTGATTATTTTGATTTGACAGAGCACGTTCCTCCCCACGAGGAGGGGCCCAGGTGGCTCCTGCCCTGCCCTTACCGGAGCGATACCGTTCATCTCGGGCTCCCCCGGAGCGAGCGCGGTGGAATTTGGAGGAGGAGGAGGAGGAGGAGGAGGAGGAGGCTGGAGCTGCGGATGGAGCGGGCATCTGAGGTGGTCTGGATTCCTTCTGTAACGCTGGATCAACCCCTGGAAAACAGGCAGCAGGGAATAAAAGGAGCTTTTTCTAGACCCCGCTCTCCCGTGGGTGTTGGGAAGCTGGTTTGTCACTCCACGTCCCAGTGACCAGCTCGTTATTGACTGGAAAACCAATAATAAACCAGCAGCAAGAGCCTTTGCTGTCCCCACTAATTACAAACCCAAAGAGACCTCCAGCTGGCCAGTCCTGGCTCCCTTCAGCTCACCAAGTGTGGGGCTTTATCACCCAGGAAAAGTTGGGTTTGCCCGTGAAAACAGGGAGCTAAACAGACACCTCTGCAGCATTTATTTGCCTTCACCCAACCCCAGAGGGCTTTGTTTTGATCCAAGGGCAACACAACTTCACCAGCTGAGAGCCAGAAGAGCCTCACGTTTCCTGGTCCCCCGAGTATTTACCAGTTCAGGCACCCACTAGATGTCAGCAGCAGATTTAACACTATTTTGACGTGAATTATTAAATTCATACTCGGCTCTTTCGTAAGTCTTGCAAAAAGCCTCTCGTCTCTCTGCGGGGCATCACACGGCAAACATGACATTCCAGTCAGGAAGGGATCAAAGGTGCCTGGCAGTGACATGACACACGAGAACAAGCCCTTTGTTTCAGTATTTTGCCCTGACATAATAACATGTTGCAGTGGCCTCGCAGAGCTGCTCAGAGGAGGGGAAAGTGTAAATCACTGATGGTTGCACAACAGAGCAGCACGAGGGAGCCGAGCCTGGCAGGTGACAGGTGATTTATCCCACGGAATTCTCCTGCTACAGCCGCACTTCCCGCCGGCAGGAACGTGACAGACACGGCGGAGAGAGACGAAAAATGAATTATTTATATTTGTTATTTACCGCCGGCTTTTTGAAGGATGCTGTGGGTTTGGTAATCGCCCTCTAACGAGAACTGACTGTTTTGTGATCCCTGTGTTTGGAGATTCAGGGACTGAATCACTGTAAGATCAGCAAGGATAAATGTTTGCATTAATAATGAGGACAGCAATGCCCAAGGAAGCAGCAGCCAAACCTGTTACTCTGCCATTTGTACTGGGAAGGGAACAGCAGTGCTGCTGGGGGACTGGCTGTTCCTTGGAAAAGGGGTTTTTTCAAGCTACATGCCTGTAAAAAACATGGAAATCACCAAATTGGAGTAGCCAGGGTTTCCAGGGCAGCCTGAACACACTCCCAGAACCCAGGGACACCCACCAGTTATTCCCTTTTAAAATACCACAACGCTCAAAGGCAGGGGGAGAAAAGAATTAAAAAATAACCAGCAAAACTTCACAGCAGAGTTTTTTCTGCTGGATTTCGGGGGGAGGGGACACCCCAGGGACACCCACCAGGTCCCCCCCCCAGTTATTCCCTTTTGGAATAACACGATGCTCAAAGGCAGGGGGAAGAAAAGAATTAAAAAACAACCAGCAAAACTTCACAGCAGAGTTTTTTCTGCTGGATTTTGAGGGGGGGGCAGGGAAAGGAAGCACAGAAATAACACTTCTTTCCTGAAATGCCACGACTTCAGGGCAAGAAGTTGGACTTTGCTGAACCTTGTGAGCCCCTCCCAGCTCGGGATATTCCACGATTCTGTGGAATGAAACACTGAAGTAACAAACTCTGTCGTGTTCCCACCGAGTGACAGCGGCAGCAGCACTTCTGTCCATGCCCCGGTTCCATCACGGCCAAAAACGGACCTTGCACCAGGAAGAAAATGAATCTCTGGGCAATGAATTGTGCTGCCTTCCCTCCACAACAACCAGGCAGCTGCCAGAGGCTGTGAATGGAGCAGGGATTGAGCAGGAGGAACCTCCTCAGTGATCCCTCTGACGTGCCCTGACACGTCACCTCCCCTCCCTCACCTCACCGCCACGAAATGGAGACACCCTGAGCCAACCCCAGGACGGTGCTGGGAGAACTGGGATGTGCTGGGAGCCAGCACCGAGCGGGTTTTGTTGTTGTTGTTGTTGTTGTTGTTGTTGTTGTTGTGGAGTAAATTAATTTTCCCCTCATTACCAAGGTGACCCGATTCCCAATCCCTCACGCACGACTTCCCCAGGATTTTTACAACGGGAGGTTCCCAGACACTGGGGCAGCTGGGTGTGAGGCGGGAGGAAAAACTGGGGGGCTGAGCAGGAAGGGCAATTAAAGCTCTGTGTTAATTGGTGACCTCCACCATCCCGGGCCTGGGCCTGGACTCCAGCTCCGTGTGCAGCTCCCCGAGCTCTCAATTAATCTCCCAGTCCTGCCAAACACTTTTCTCCTCTCCTAATTAAGGGTTTTCTGAGACAAACCCAACCCCTGAGCAGTGCCAGGAACGAGGGGCCCGGGATTGTGGCATCTCCAGCCTCGCCCAGGCCCGGGACAAGGGCAGGGCTGCCAAGAGGCTCCGGAGCCACCAAAGGATCCCACATTTCCTCCCGAGGCTCCCGGGACCTCCACGGGAACAAACACTGGCCTGGGAATCTAAAAACCCACTCAACAAATCCCTCTAAAGAGGGATCAGTCATTTATATATCACTTTCTGGGTCCTTTAAAACAGAAAAATGGATTTGACACGAAGGCGGCCACGGAGCCTCCAAGATTCCCATCACACTCCGGTCCAGGGAGCAGCCCTCATTTGTAACAAAATCTCCAGTTTGAAGGCTAAATTACAATTTTTGCTTGCCTTGCTCCCTCCAGCACGTGGCTCTGGCAGAACACACCGACCTTTTGTGTAAAAAACCCGATTTTTATCTCAGACAAGGGAACAGGCCCCAGCTTTCAGTGAACTCATGACCAAATCCAACCTGAAACCAGCGGGGCTGGAGAGCAGGAATGACACCAGCCAGCGTGGAAGGGTCTGGAAGTTGCCACATGACAGCTTTATGCTCCTCCATCAAGTGCCTGAAGGGAGCTGCTGTCATTTCCCCCCCAGTCCTGTGGTGCTGATGGGCAATAAATGCACTGGGAGCCTTCACTCTTCATTAATTATCTTTTTTTTGGCAGCAGCTCAGACTTGGGAAATTCCAGTAGGCCCTTTCAGGACTCCCCATCACACCCAGTAAGAACCAGACCCATCAGTGGTTAATGGCTGGACCTCTCAGCAGGTCAGTGACACAACAACTGTGGGTGAGCAGCCCCACAGAAATGATCAGACACACGTTCAGCCACGTCCTTCAGCTCACAATTATATGTAATTATCCCACATCCAACGAGCTGAGCTGCCCAGGAGCTCTGAACCCAAGGAGACAGATGGGAGCAAAGCAAAATAAAGCAACAAATCGTGAAAACCCTCGTGTTTCTCCAAGGAGGAATTAAGGTGGCTGAAGGACACGGCACGGACCACGCTCAGAAGCTCTGGAGCTGCCAGGAATCCCTGGAGTTCCACAGGAACCACAGGAGCCTTCCTGGCATCCCCACACCTCCACAGTGGGATTATCAACCCAGGGAACACACGTGGAACAGAATAATCCAGAGCTGGCAGAGGGATCTCGGTGCTCCACAGCCACTCCCCGGACCCCTGGAATGTCACAGCTCCACAAAATCCCGGTGCCAGATGGAACAAGGACCTACCTTGGGTTTGTGGGACATATGGAGCCAGCAGCTTTGCTCTCTTCTTCTCATACCCCTTCTGTGTGATGTCCCCTAAAACCAAGCAGACAAAAACCGTTTCATCACGTTGGCATTTTTCAGCCTGAGCTCTGTTTGCTTCTCTTTCCAGTGCCACGAAGGTTTCACCTGAAAACAGCTGAGGAAAACCTGCAACCCAGCAAATCCAAGAACATTAGGATTTCAAAGCTCCACGTTACAGAACTCCTGCAGTTTCCCTTGGGATCAGAGACCTGCACCATCCACTATTTAAATGCAATAACTTGGATCACAGCAGCTATCTAGATGGAATATCAAAGCAAGGGAAACCTAAAAAGGGAAACTTGGGAGTGCATGAAAATGTTCTGCAACCACAGAGCCAACCTGGGCGAAAAAAGGGGGAGAATTCCCAGCCAACAGGGAAAGTGCAAATTTGGAGCCTCACCTTCAACTCATCCAACTGAGAAGAGCTTTCAGCAAACCAAGCCAGTCCCCTGCAGGAGCTGCTCAGGGCACCTCCAAAACCTGAGGTGGGGATGGACAGATGCAGGACTCAGGTGGGGTCTCACAAGAGCAGAGAGAGGGGGAGAATCCCCTCTAAAGTGACTATTCCAGAGGACGGGATAAAGTATTTGTAAACTTTTCCCTTTTTTTTTAAAAAAAAACTAATCTGTCTGATCCTGGAGATGCACCATCTGGCTGCTGTCCTTTGTTTTAATTTCTCACGTTACATCAGAACCACAAGAAAGAACTGAAACCTTGAAGGGATTAAAACAAAAAAAAAAAAAAAGCCCTGCAGCGTTTCAAGCCTTCTCACAGCACTTACCACCTCTTATCTCTGGGGCCCCAAAGATGGGGAGCCATCAAACACAGCACTAAGAAAACACAGAATTATTTGGTATCAGGCTAAAATCAAGCCACAGTTCCACGATGACGAGCAGTGAGTGATCATAAACAGGATGTTGGCTTTGTTGGGAGGGTTTTGCTCCCAGCAGGATCCTCCTGCCTGAGCTGGGGGGGCCACAGCACAAAAGGGGATTACAGGGATCTAAGCCTCTCAGCAGCACCAGTGTCTCTGCTCAAACATTCCAGCTGGCTGCCCAGTTTGCTTCCAAAGGTGATCTGTGGAATGCTTGGAAAGGGAATGGACTCCACTCCTCCGTGCTGGGCACTCGAACACCAGTGGCACTTAGAACACCCAGAACAGGAATTCCAGAGCTGGAGTGGGACTCAGTGGCTTCAAACTGCCAGAGATTGGATATCAGCACAAAATCCTGCCCTGGGAGGGTGGGGAGGCCCTGGCACAGGTTGCCCAGAGAAGCTGTGGCTGCCCCTGGACCCCTGGCAGTGTCCAGGGCCAGGTTGGAGCAACCTGGGCTAGTGGAAGGTGTCCCTGTGCACAGCAGAGGGTTGGAACTGGATGATCTTTAAGGTCCCTTCCAACCCAAAGCAGCCCCTGTCTCTGGCTGGTGCTGCTCAGGGCAGGGTGTGTGTCTGCACCCAGAACTTTATCTCACTCCTCACCCTACGCCGGAGTCAGGCCCCGACAAGCCCAAACAAATCCAGCAGCTGAAAGGGAGAATGTCCACGAAGCACTGGAATGCCAAGCAAAGCAGGAATTTTAATGCCTGACTGCAAAGCAGGGCCCAGGTAACGCTGACCCAGCTGCCTGGACAGGTACCTGCCAGGGCAGAGGGACACCCCAACCAGAGCTCCTGGGGCTCCTGTGCCCAAGCACAACGTGCTGAGCGGCTGCAGGAGCTCCAAACCCCACCAGCTCTGCCCAGCTCTGCCTCTCCATCTGCAGAGGCAGCTTTCAGAGGATCAGGGAATAAGGACCTTCCAGCCCATCCTGGCCCTGCAGAATCTCACCCCAACAATCCCACCCCGTCCCTCAGAGCGTTGTCCGAACGCTCCTGGAGCTCTGGCAGCCTTGGGGACCCTGGGGAGCCTGGGCAGTGCCCAACCACCCTCTGGGGGAAGAACCTTTCCCTGAGATCCAGCCTGACCCTGCCCTGGCACAGCTCCAGCCCTTCCCTGGGTCCTGTCCCTGCTCACAGGGAGCAGAGGTCGGAGCTGCCCCTCGGGAGGAGCTGCAGCCCCCGAGGAGTCTCTTTCAGCCTCCTCCAGCTGAACAAACCCAGTGCCCTCAGCTGCTGCTCCAGACCCTTCCCCATCCCTGTGTCCCTGCTTTGGACCCTCTCCAACACCTTTAGACGTTTTTTACCTCGTGGTGCCCAAAGTGCCCCCAGGACTGAGGTGAGGCCGCCCCAGCTCAGAGCAGAGCGGGACAATCCCCTGCCCTGCCCTGCCCCCAGGACACCCAGTTCCTTTGGGAGGCACAGGGAGCCAGGGGATGGACACTGCAGGAAAACACACCTGCCCGGAGAGGGGAGGGATTTCTCCCTGTAATCCAACCCACGGGTTTGTTTGGAGCTTGTTATTTCGTGATTAATTTCCCCACAAGGTTTAATTGGACTCTTGACATTGGTGGTTACACTCTACCTATAATGAAACACTTGCCATGGAAAATGGTTGGGATTACTAAGGAATACAACACATACAAATAATCCAAGTACATTATGAACAAATACCAGAACTTTAAATGTGAGTCCTGGCAGCACCCATTTCTGTGTCACGTGCTGGGAAGCAGAAACTCCTCATGAATTCCACACTAATATCCCACCAATAAAACAAACCCATCCTCACTGGAATGCAAACGGTTCCCAGACTGGCACTGGGAAATGTGAAGCTGAGATGAGACACTACTGAGAAACAAGAAGGTAACTCAGGGCAGAACTCTGCTCGTAACTGAACCGGCCTCGTGATGCAGATCACTGACATTGCTGCTGAAAAAAGGATTTTCTGAGCATAAGCCAATAAAAAAAATAAAAGCCTAATGCTATTTGGCAAGAGCAGGAAAGTTCCAACGAGCAAAACTCGAGCAACAGAAATAAAGGTGATGAATTCCTGGGGCTTCCCAGCAGTGCTGTGTCTTCCTAGTGCTGAATCTCCAGGTAGAGTTTGTTAGAATATAAAGAAATAAATCATTATTTTAACAGACAGGGTGATGGTCTCAAACACCTGCACAGGGTTAGAGAACACAAAGCTTCAATTTTGAGACCAGGTCTCCTGAAGTGGAATTAAGCAGGGACTGAAAGTAAGAGGAAAAGAGGGAAACCTGAGTTCTTTTGCAGAGTGCCAACCAAAACATCACCACCTGAAATAAAAGCTGCAGCAACACACAGGGATTGTCCTCTGGGGAAAAACCTCGTGTGCAGATTCCCCTCATGAACAGGATGACGGGATTCCTGCAGCCACAACCGTCCTGCCCCGGTGACATCCCGAGCCCTGGGAGGGAGCAACGTCCTTTTGACACCCAAAAATGAATTTATGGCATAAAAACTCTTCTCCCTGGTCGTGCACAGTCCAAATTCGGGGCCGGTCCACCGAGACAGAAACTGAGGCATCACTAAAGGAGAAGTTTTCTTTCACCCTGTTCCTTTTCCGCTGATCCACGGGAAATGGTGACGCCCGGACACGAGCGTGGACTTCCTCGTGGAATATCACACGTTGCAGCCACGGGAAGAGCACCAGGACAATCCCCAGAACCATTTGCTCCTCCAACACACACCTGGCTCAACCCCCAAGCCCACTCCCACCCTCCAAACACCCCGTGGCACTCGGGGTGCCGGATCCTCCCCGGGAACCACGACCCCTCTGCGGGCAGATACGAGACAGGGCACTCCAAAGAACCAGCGAGAGCCGACAACTCGGCTTCCCAACGGTGTTTGTTCACTCCTGGGGGAGAAATCACCAACACAAACAGTGCTGAGACGCCCTCCTGGCTCCCTCCCAGCCCCAACCATCGCTGTTGGGGTCACTCTATATTTACCCGTGTCCTAAGCGGAGCCTCCCCGAGCTGAGGGGGCCCCCACGCAGGAAATGGGGCTCTGCTCAAAGGGAAGCAGCTCCAGGGTGTTTTGGAGAGCACATGACAGCGAGCTGAGCTGCTGCTGGGGGGGAGGAAGAGGCTCTTCTTCCTTCCTGTCACTGCTGCAGTGACGGCACCGTCGTCTTCAGCCTCCACAGGTAACCCCGGGCCAGGGCAGGGGTAAACACAGCCCCCCTGGCCACTGGGATCATGGAACCATTGGGGTGGGAAGGGACCTTCAAAATCATCTCATTCCCACCCCCTGCCATGGGCAGGGACACCTCCCACCAGCCCAGGTTGCTCCAGCCTGGCCTTGGGCACTTCCAGGGATCCAGGGGCAGCCACAGCTTCTCTGGGCAACCTGTGCCAGGGCCTCCCCACCCTCCCAGGGAGGAATTTCTTCCCAATATCCCATCTAAAACTAACCTCTGTCAGTTTGAACCCATTTGCCCTCATCCTGTCACTCCAGTTCCTGATGAAAAGTCCCTCTCTGGCTTCCCTGTAGCCCCTTCAGACCCCGGAAGGGTCTGTGAGGTCTCCACACAACCTTCTCTTGCCCAGCTCTCTCAGCCTGTCAAACCACGCCGGACAATCCAGTTCAGCAGCCCCACACACAACCATTTCCCTCACTGCATTTCCCAAACTCAAGAGTTTTTCCCCTCCCACCCCAAGCAAAGCTCTACCCCCACCCTCACCACTCATCCCGACACGTGAGAAACCTCCTCCTGCTCCTCCGACAGCTTTAAAAGAAGAACCTGAAGAAATCCTACTTTGCACGACACAGCAGGTCTTGCAAACACACCTGAGATGCCCTTCTGTGGATTCAGAACAGAAATCAACACCTGTGTTTTGCAGACACAACCAAGGAACAGGGACCTTCCTCACGTGGAATGCCCGGACAATAATCCCGAGTGCCAACACCTCCGCGACGGAACCCTTGTTTGGGATTACACAAGTGCACACCTGAGAGACAGAATTCCCTAGGAAAACGCAAAAAAAAAAAAAAAAAAATGGATCCTGAGGTTAATTTTTTAATCTGACTCTCCCAATTTCCCGAGGGAAAATCCAGAACTGATCCTCAAACCCAACCGGGACGTTTCCGATCCCCGGGAGCGGCAGAGAACGGTTCGACCTCGCGATGGCAGAGCCCAGGGGA